AACCACCCCGAGTCTAACGCTTTGGGGGCACCCTGCGGAGCTGGGGAGAACGGCCAGAAGCACAGAGACCCTCCCCACCACTTTGCAGGAGTACCACGGCCCCATGCAGTGGTAAGGGGGCCACACACAGGCTGATTTACCCTGAGCCCTGCACCCCCTAGGGTTGGCTCTGGGTATAACCTTAGGTCAGAGGGGCCAGGCCTGGAGAGAGATGGAGGCTGCAGCAACCCAAAGCAACAGCCTCTGTGCTGGCCAGAGGCACAAGCTGTGGCTCACAGGGGACTGCAGTAACCTCAGCGAGTAGAATAAAGGTTGGGAGCCTGCAGGCAGAGGTGGCTGTGAAAGGGGGGCAACAACAACCTTATGTTATACGCCAGCCACTGAACTGCTCCTAGGAGCTGGGATGGCAAGAGCTGGCTTGAGCTCTGGTTGTGATAGTTTATAGTCATGGTGTCTGAGGTGTTTTATTTCTGGGCACTCCAGTGAAGGAGTCTGTTTTGTGTCAGTGTGTGCCACTGTTTCTGGGAATACACAGACTCAGACAAGCCTGCAACACCACAGCAGCATGCTACAGCTGACCGCCACGCGGGCAGAATAGAACTGGAGTCTCAGAGCCGTCCCCCAGCTTTGAGTGCAAACCTTTACAAAATGGCGCGACACTAAATCCACGGCTAGCTTCCATGTACCCCGATGGGACTGAGGGCTCTTCTCAGAAAGGAGACCTTTTCTGGCAGGTGGAGGGGGAATCCCAATAGTGTCCTGCATTAGGGCTATTTTTAACTCTGTTGGGGATTGTCTAAATCAGCACAAGTGCCAATTATTGACCCTCTTAAATAGGCTCCTCCTGTTTTCCCTGCTGGTATAATGACTCTGGGGCAATAATGTCCCCTCTGGAGTCATCCTCAGTGGCCTTTGTCCAGGCCCTCCTGACACCTTGGTCATTTTGCCTTTGACATTCCCATTCCTGCTTTCTTAGGGTTGTTGGGGATGACCACTCCTCTAACCAAGCGGAAACAAAAGAAAACAGAGCAAGGCCCACACTTTCTTGCCCCATTTGAAGAAGCAGGAGGGTCTAGGTGCTTATCCCATCACAGTAGCTCTGAGATGTGACAGAGAAGAGGGGCTGTGAGGGATCAAGCCAGAAGAAAGGCCACTGGAAACAGAGCAATCAGTATCCTTGGGGAACCAAAAAATAATGTACCTAGCCTGTTCCCTGCCCGAGCGCTTCTTCCAGGGCCTTCCCTTCCCCTACAAAAATTGTTTCCTCAGACCATTAAAGACGAATGGAGCCTGAGATTGAATTGCAGGGTGAAGTGGTGGTAGGAGAGGGGGTACCAGGAGTTTTTTGCTTCCCTCTAGAGAGTCTGTTGTAAGACTCCTGCTTAACCTTTTTTATCCCCTGCACTGAATAAATCGAGACGGGAAAGCATAAAGCAAACCAGAGCATCAAATGGCTGTGTGATTCATGATGGAGGGAGAGCTCTCAGGGGTGCCTGCTTTCTGGATTACAGTAGAGGGGCAGAGGCTTAGGTACCTGGATAAAATCAATCTGGAGGATCTGTGTGAATGACTGCCTTGAACGTGCTGGGTAGGGGAAGCATATGGGGTGGGAGGAAGAGTGAGAGATAGGGGATGGAAAAAGAGTAGAATAGGTGCAGAGGTTTCACTCCTCCCGGTCTCCTGGTGCTGGGCACAGCAGGTCAATTCTGGGCATGCATTAGACCAATTCAGATCCAAAGGAGTCTTCCTCCTGGCCCTGCCACTGGCCCAGCTACAGACAGGGTTATAAACTAGCCTTTTCATAAGAGACCTCAGTGATCACAGCTGCCAACACCCCAGCACCAGGCAGACGGGTTCCTCACTGTCTGCCCAGAGCATGTGGAGTGTGAGCCGTACAGCCTGGCCCTCTACCTAACCGCAAGGAGCAGGCTGCAGAGCCTGGTGTCAATGCTGCCCTGTGTCGAACCCTCCTCACTCACTCTCTCCAGCAAACAATGAGCTTATTCAGGGAGCCCTGGAGCCAACACAATGACACTCTTGGTCTGTCTGCCCAGCCTGTCAGAGGCCATGTGTGTGAGAACAGGCAGCCTGAAGTAAACAGGCCCTAGGAGTGGCAGAGGCCAGTGCAAAACAGAGGACGGGTGGGATCGATATAATCAGGAATACAAGTGAATTCTCTGATGGGGTCACAACCCAGGGGAAACATCATACCCTGACCACACTGCTCCCATGGGATGAAAGCTGGCCAGGCTTCCCTGCAGCAAAGGTCTCATCCAGCAAGGAGATGAGCAGTCCCAACTTCCTGAGTGCAATAGGAGATGAGGAGCACTCAGCGCTTGCAGGATCTGCCCATAAGTAAAGATGGGAGCAAAAAGGCCAAACAGGTTGTAGCAGATATGTGCTGCCGGTGAGGAGGCATGTGTGGGGGAGGAGGGCTAGCAGGGGCCCTGTGAGCCTGGCATTAGGGGCTTTAGTAAAGCTACATATGTGGAGCCCAGTACTGGACTGTCTGCAGGTGCTGGAGGTTCAGTTTTGAGGTGCATCAGCTGACTGCTTTGGAGGCATTCATGTAGTACCCAGCTGCTCTGTGTCAATGCTCTCAGTACCTTATTTTTCTGAGACTTTAACCCCTGAATTACCTCCAAGATATGGAACAATTTAAGAAACACCTTTTAAACATGTAGTCAGCAAAGTCCCAACCCTCTTTCTGGTCACTTCCTACTCCCATCCTCCGGTGTCCTCCTGTCTCTCTGGTCTAGGTCTCCTAGCCTGCAATACTGATTCTTTCTGGCCGGGAGGCAGCTGTCTCTCCCTGTGTCATTTCTTTACTTAGCTGGCATCTCCAGGAACTGGATTTGTTCAGGGCATGGCAGATGAGCTCCTCTTGTGTATGCCAAGTCAGTGTTGAGGCAGGTCTGACCAGTTTCTCAGAGGAGGGAGAACAAATGGCTATGGGTCCTCCCAAGGCCACGCAGAGTCCCCAGCAGAGGAGTCCAGAGTTTGGACTCCCAAGCTCCATGCACACATTTTCTTGGCTCATCTCACAGCTGGGACCACTTGTCAATATTCCCCAACCCTAGTAATTGGCCATTTCCCACAGGTTTGCATTGATTTATTCTTCTAGCAATGTACAAGGGCATGCATTGGCCAAAGCTCAGCAGAGATAAAAGGCACAACCCCTACCTGAAAAGCCTATAGGCAGGATCAGACATGACACAGCATTGGGGGAAACAAAGGGCAGTGACAGAGAAAGGACAGGGATTACCTGGGGTATTGGCCATAGCTAAGTCTCGGTGTTCTTGATGAGGTATGTTAATGCTCCTGCCAGTACTTGGAAAACCTCGAGGGTCCTGACTGGGACGTCTTGCTCTTCAACTCAGAGTCATACCAGTCACCACATTTGAGGTCAGCAAGGAATTTTTCCATTAGGTCAGATTGGCACAGACTTGTGAGGGGGGTTTACCCCTTCCTGTCTAGCATGAGGCGTAGTACTTTTCCTAGGATATGAGTGTACATTCCCTGCCTACTTCCCTGTCTGTTGCTACAATAGCAGGACACTGGTAGTGCCCTCATCTCCCCTACTTTTAGCCATGCTATGTTATAGGATGTTCTTGCTGTTTCAAGTGCTCTATCTTATAGTTGTGTAGGAGGGTTTGAAGTCATGATTTGAGGGTAATCCTTGTGCTAATGATCGCCTGAGATCACAGGGGACTGGATTCAATGGCCCAGGAGGCCACTTCTGACTGGAAGTGTTTATGTCCATGTTCCTATGGTAAATGATGCCCTAATTCAGTGATTTGCAATGGAGCAGGATGCTGTGTACACATGTGATATGAACCAGTAGGAGATTCCTTGAAGGCATCATGGTAGAGAAGGGGTTATTGGGAGGTATATGGAAGCAGAAGACTTACAGACCAGCTAAGGGAGTGTCCAAGAGATGTAGGAGCAGGGAAGATTGAGGGAGAAGTAGATCAGTGGAAAGTTGCAGCTGGGCTCACTGGCAGAGCACAAGGGACAGGGACTGCCTGATGACAATTGCAGGGAAAGAGGCTTTGATCCTGAGAAGTGTGAGTTTGATGCAGTGAAAGAGGGAGACAAAGTGGGAAGGGATTCAGAGAGGAAAGCAGCTGAGAACAATAGGGAAAGAGCAGGGTCTTGGTAGCAACATTTTGCATGGATCTGTGGTAGGGGAGGTGGATATGGCACAGGTGAGCAGTAAGAAGGCTCCAGCTCCTCAGTCAAGGGTTTCCCTTGCACCTGACTTTTGCAGTACAACACAGTGGGGAGTTTTCAGCCTGTGAGCAGCTTTTGGCTGACTTGTATCTCCCAGCATTGTCTCATTCCCTGCCCTGACTCCTGATCTGTGACTCTGAACTGACCTTGTCTCTTCATTTCCTGACCCCACCTCCTGACCATGGTGTGTCTGTCAGCTCTGTGACTCTGGCTCTGGACCTCAGCTTGTTTCTGGGTTTCCAGACTTCGGCTGTAGACCTTGGCTTTATGTTCAGACTACAGACCTTCGGCACCTGGTCTTGATCCAGTACTTCAGCCCTGCCTCTTGCTTCAGTCCCCAAGCTTGGCACCCTTGCTACTAATCTGACATCTGCCTGGCTTATGGCTACTCATGTACTGTACATGGCTCCAGCCACTAGGCTGAGCTACTCTAGCAGAGCAGGAGCAAAGTGCATCCTGGGAAGGTACCAGCTGCTGAGAGGACCACAGCAGAGGGCAGAAAGTGTGGGCCTGCCTACACGTAGCTTCCACAAGCTGCTCAGGAGTGGCAAGAGAACTAGTCAGAGAGCTGGTGTCACCGCCTTGCCCCAGGGAACCTCTGGATGGAGATCCAAGGTTTTGCTGGAAGAACCCAAGTTCTGGAACAAAACCCTGTTGCAAGGGCCAGGCTTCAGAGTGATAATGGAGAAGGATGAGTCAGGATTTGGATGTGTGGAGCAATGGAGGCAGGTGGAGGAGTCAAATCAGAGCCCAAAGGAACAAGGAAGATAGTTGGCAGTGACATGGCATGGGGAAGAAAGAGCAGAAGTTCTACTTCTGTCCATGTTCAGTTTGAGCCAATGATGAGTGGAGAGGGGAAGTTGAAGCAAAAGGCCAAGATGCAGAATTGGAGTCAGTGCAGAGAGATTTCTGTGCGAGTCTTCCATGTGGCCTTCATAGCTGGAGCCTGAGATAGGCTTACTTTGAGAGGATGAGGAGAGGGAAAAGGGAAGAACCAAGGACAGAGCCTTGTAGGAGTGTGCTACTGCTCTGTGGCACAGAGCATCAGGGAATTAATCCTGTGATTAATTCTCTTGTTCTGGGGAGGAAAAAGCAAGCACAGAGAGGGAAAGGACTTCCCCAGACTCCATGGTGCATCTGTGGCAGATAGGAAGACAAACCAGTCCTGATCCCTAACCCTGTGCTTTAAGCAGCATTCCCTTTGCTCTGCTCTTGGTTACCATATGGTTATTTAATCCTAGAGAAAACTCCATGCAGCACTGAACCTTCCAGTGTAAAACTGAGCCAGTTGCTTGATTATGTTTTCAATAAGCATGTCTATTTTTGAAGTAAATAAGACCAGTACTGACCCCTGAGCTAGGCATTTTTTGGAGGTCAGCGCTGAAATCAAGGGGCCCAGTCCCTCCAGGCAGCCTATCACTAACTGCCCAGAAAGGCTGTCACACTCAGATACTCTATTTATTTGTATGGAATACATCAACTGAATGACAGAACATCCTATAAACAATAGCACTGAAGGATAACGCTAGAGTGGCAGTTTTAGATTTGATATCCATTGCAAGGCATTGTCAGGAGCCTGGTGCAGGTCTTCAATGTAACCATTAAAGTGATAAATAGGACATTTCTCCATGACATGTGCTATAGTTGAATTTCACCACACCTACACTTGGGGTTTTTAATAAAATTCCATTTATGTAGTAGGTAGTTACATCTACCATGTCCAGTATGAACCATGTTCAACGTTGTCCAGCTCCGCCTTCATAAAGCAAAGCCAGGAGGTTTTGATGTGTGGTCTGTAATAAGAAATTTGTTAATGATGTTAATTGTGTTCCATTGCTAGGTCCATTTTTCCGTGATATCACAGTTACCATCACTCAAGCTCTTTTCCCAGAGTCCAAAATGGCCTTGACTTACACCTTGGTGTAGACTATCAGGTACAAAATGTTTATTACAGTACTGTTTAACATCTTGTTCAACCACAAGCTCAGAGTTTGCCTTGATGGTAAAATAAGCAGACCCAGATTCATCAACAATCATTTACCACAGGGCTTTGTTCTGGCACCCATCCTTTTCAACTGGTACACACATGATATTCCCCATGCAAAATCAAGAAAATGTATTTACTCTGACAATATTATCATCCTAGCAGAGGCCTCCAGTTCTAGTTTTATTAAAACTACACTCAGTAATGATTTAGCAAAATTAGAAGATTATTTTAATGGATGGTATTTGAAGCCCAACCCTGATGAAACATTTTATACCTTTTCTCATCTCACTAATGCCCAGGTGAGCGCCCAACTAAGAAACAACTTTTGTGGAAAACCAGTCAACACTGAACCCAATCCCAAAATATTTAGGAGTCCACCTTGACCACAGTCTCACCTACAGGCATCATCTACAATTAACTAAGAACAAACTTGTGATACACAGTAACATTATCTCGAAACTGGCTAGTATGAGCTGGGGAAACAATGCTGAAAATTTCGTACATCGGTGCTAGCCCTCGTTTTTTCAGCAGCTGAGTATTGTGCACCAGTTCGGGGTAGGAGCGCCCATAGCTGCCTGACTGACTTTCAACTGAATGAAACAATGAGACTCATAGCAGGTACTTGCAGATCCACTCCTGTTCCTTGGCTGTCTCTTTCATCTCATATCCTTCCTCCTGATCTCCGAAGTAAATAGGCTACTTTAAGAGTCTACACAAAACTGTTTACATTCAATTCACTCAGTTACTAGCGAATCCACATGCAACACATTCGCTCCACTCCCATAACCAATAGGGGCTGGCTACGTGGGGATACAGTAGCAGGGGATCCCAATGAAGAAAAACAGTAGGAGACTGACAAGGCAAGAAGCTAAAAGTCCTGGTAGCTGCTAACTTCTGGCTCTGTGAGTACCAGCATAAGGTGAGGCAATGTAGAAGAGGAAAATTTTGATGCTGGGGTATGCAGTAAGTCTCTGTGAAGATCCGTGATGCTTACAAGATGCTTGAGACTGCACACGCTTTCACTCACATACCCCATGCCATGGTTTCATGGGAAATGCATAAACCCTTATCCAATCCATTGGCTTTCCTTTGCCATCTTGAGTAGCTGACAATTCCTTGTTTGCCCATGTTCACACAAGTTTTGGTGAGAAGATTGCTTCTTTCTAGTTCCTTCGTTGTGCCCCTTATTTGATGTCTCTCCTTACTTGACTTTTACAAATGCTGCTGTTTGCTACAATACATCCGTCATCTGTCTCATCACTTATTTTCCCTTGAAGATGCTCACCACACTAATAGTCAAAACGCTCTTACGTGAAGCAACTATTTTGCAGCTTGAATGGATGGGTTTTGTGCTTGGAAATGCCTGCCAGGGAAAAACAAGAGTGGAACTGAACAGGAAACAGCAATTTGAGATGAATAATGAAGCACCAAAGTTGCAGGCCTTGTCAGTCCTCCCTATTCATATGGTCCTATCGCTTCCAGCCCCAAAGTCACTTGATCCCTGGGTCACCCTCTCTCCACAGCCAGATGTTTTGCAGTGCTCCTGCCAATTTCATGCTGCCCCTGCAAAAGGATCTGACAGCCAAAGGGCTCCAATTAGTGGTAGAGTGAAGATTTGACAGGAGCACAAGGGTTTGACAAAGCTGGGAGGTATCTCCTTGACTGGGACAACATGCAAGGCACTGATGATCAGGAGCAAGGGGCATCAGCAAAGCTTTGTGATAGGCCCAAGACTGCAGCAGCAAGAAGTGCCAGAGGTCAGGGTTTATATACAGAGCCCAGGAGTGAAATAGCAGGCTGTGCTGCTAGTCAGGCCTAAGGTACATTAGTACCTTAGCAGAGGTGTTTCCATTTCAAGACTGGAGTAGCAGGGAGATGATGATAGAATCATGCATCACTGCCCAGGGTCATCCTCAGTTTTAAGCAGTTGCTCACTTTCATGAGAGCTAAATTGACCCTAAAATTAAGGGATCCCTAGAGTGATTGATGACTACGGCAAGTGGGTGATGACGATTAGCGGTAGAGGAATCTATTCAGGTGGGTGGATGAAGAACTACTGACTGGAAGACTGAAAGAAACAGAAAGATAGGGAAACCACAGCAAAAGCCCCCTTTAATATAAAGCTGTTTTGCTCGTCTGGAGAGCTGAGGGGGCAGAGACAGAATGTCAATGTCATGGCAAAAATTATCTCCGGGAAATTATAAAATCTGGGACATGTGTTGTGTCTGTGATATGATGGGGGTCCCAGCAGCCCAGGGGATGATGTACTTTCCCTTTCTGCTCCCTTACGTTTCCAGGAGACATAAGCCGAGCATGCATTCATTGGCCTGCCCTCTAGTGAGCTCAGAATTACAAGCAGTAACACCCAGCTCAGCCTTACCAGGGCTTCCCCTGGATATTACCGCTCTCAGTCACCCCAGGTTGTTGGCTGTGCTGTCAGGGATGAATCTTGGCTCATCTGAGACCGGTGCCTCCCATCTCTTGGAGGGCACCAGGATCACTAGAATAGGGAGCTATTTTTATCTGTCTGACTTGGCTGTCCACATTTTGGCCACCTTCTGAGAGATTGGGGTGGCGTGGGGTGTGTGTGTGCAGAACTCACTTCCAGCAGCTTCTCTTGCACCTTATTTTGGTTCCCCATTCTGCCTAATGCCCACAGATAGCTGGGTAGTCATCACAGGACAAAGCGATCTGGCATGGAGAAAGTCTGTGGGCCCCACTCCAGCCATGGGACAATACGAAATGAAGATGGAGGAGATCTCCTGTAGTGATAACTTAGAAAGAAGAACCCAGAGGGAAGCAGCAAAATTATCATTTTCCCCTTTTTGAAACAGCCCCCCAAGGTAAATATTGGAGCACTTCTGGGTTGGTGTTAGCTTATAGCTAGTTTACTTGACTGGCTATGCTTCTTCTGCTGAAGCCTTATAGATGAGATGAGTCAAAAACTGCCATTCCACAGGAAATTCTGATTAAAAAAAAAACTTTGTCCCAAATTACAATGAAAGTTGAAATATTGATGTTTCCAATGACATGAAAATTATGAAAAAATTCTTGTTTCCAGACCATCAACATTTTTTGTTTGGATAATACCAAGTTATCTTGCTTCAATAAAAATCTTTTTACGGTTTCAGTAAGGTTAAAATTATGTTTTGAGTCATTTCACCTAGTCTTATTAAAATATTAATTTAATATTATGTATAGATTATTAGCTTTTTTGCAGTATGTATATTCTATTTAAATGTCTGGTATAATCTAAAAGTGAAAATAAAAGGATAGGCGAGGCAAAACATTCTTAAGTTTCTGAAATCCAATGTTTGGACTTTGTTGAAACTCACTGAGGAAGGTGAACTAATGCAATGTGGCTGTTTTTCTACTAGAATTTAATAGAATGTCCTTTGCGGGGGGTTTCAAGAGGAAGCTGGATAAACACTGGGCAGGCATGGCTTAGGACAGGGTTGCCCAACCAGCAGCCAGCAGGCCACATCCAGCCCCACAATCCCAAAGACTGAACCTGCAACGCTTGGGCTCCCAGTCTGGGCACTGATCCCCCCCATTGCTCTTCTTCTGCTGCTGCCTCAGTCTCCCCCTCCCTTCTCCAACTTCTGCTGCTTTCTCCCCCACTGTGGGCAAGGCAGGTGAGCACAGCCCATGGGGCAGAGGGAGCTTGTAGCCTGTGGGACCAGGGATCCCATCCAATGAAGTTGTGCTGATGTTGAGTAGAGGGTGGGGGGAGGGGACAGGAGGCCATGACCATCATTCTCCATGTCTCAGGCACCATGTGGAGAGGAAGGCACCATACACTGCCTAGGGGTCAGAGCAATTCTCTCAGCTCTTTGCAGTTCATATATGACCCTGCCTCCCAACTCAAAGAGTTGTAGGGGCTGGGGCCATCAACCATTATCTGATTACACTCACGTCAAGGTTTCACTGTAGGACTTGGGGCACCACTGTTCATAGAGGTGAAAAGGAACCAGGCTTGCATTATTGTTGCCGTTTGGAATAAGCTCTGGACACAGCTCCTGGGAAAGGAGGGAGGGCACTGGATACCTGATGCTCCCTGAAATGAACTCTGGCTGCAGTTCCCAGGTGAAAGCCAATGAACTGGATTGTTGAGTGGAGCTCAGGTTGCCAGTGTGGTTGGCAAATGTGTGGATCGTGTTGATGACTGTAAATCCGCCCACTGGCATAACCAACCTGATCACCCCTTCTTTCCTCCTGAAGCACAATCCTTTCCCCGTACACTGAAGCCCTCCAGAACCTTTGGACGTGCATGAAGAGGAGGCCTAATCGCTTTGTCACCTTAGCTGGAGGAGCTCAGTCTGCCTGAACAGTGGGGCTGTATCCAAACTCATATGCCATCTGCTCCAGCAAGATACAGCTTGTCTCTGCCTCCCCGCTCCCTCCTTTCCTCCCCATGTCTCTCTTCCTTTCCCCCTCTCCCCCAGCACTGCCGCCTGCTTGAGTGATTCTCTGAGAAGAGCGAACAAGCCAGGCACATTAAAAACTTAATGCAAAACTAATTTGTCAGCCGTAAACAAGTGGCAAAGGCTTTAGTGCATTTTCTGCCCATTTTATTCCATTCACTAGGCGGAGAATGAGGGCCTCCCATCCTGGTGTAATGAGATCTGACTCGTTGGCATGGTGATAGGAATACAGTACAGAGATGGAGCCGAGGCTGGGCATGCGAAGGAGCTGCTCCCACAGGGAAACTGCAAAAAGGGAACTGAAGGGGAAGCTCTGAAAGGGAGGGAGCCCCCCTTACAGTGCGTGGGAAGAAGGCACAGAGGAGGGTCATGCAAGCAGCTGCTGCAGCTGTTTCTGGCTCTGATTCAGAGGATGTGATGGGAGCTTCCATAGAGATGCTGCCAGTGAGGAAAACCAGAGCAGAGTTAGGGCCACGAGTAGCCTGTAGAAAGGTCAGGGCTTATTTTGGAGATAGAAGCCCTGAGTGTGGCTTTGTAACCAGACACCACATCCAGGTCTGCAAACCTTCAGGAAGAATAGGCTGTTTATGGGAGACCAGGTGCTCCCCACTGCCAAATGAGCTGGAGGTGACCAGGAGAGTTGCACCAGGAGACCTGATGTCTCCTGTTGCTATGAAGGGCCAAGTGCAACCAGAACAACTTTCCAAGGGCAGCGTGATGCCTCTTACTGTGATGAGGAAGGGGTTGGGCATGCCCAGAGCAGCTTGGCTTGTGGTGCCCTGGCAGCACTTCAGGTCTTGTTTGGGGGAAGGAAGCTGAACAGCAGCTGTGAGTTTGAGCAGAAAAGCTGTTAAACGTTTTCCAACTCAGAGAAAGATTTGCTAGTGCTCTGCTGCAAAGATTTGCACGGAGGACTAATTATGGGTCTTGGGTGGGCCAAGAAGAAATGAGTGTCTCCATTCAGCTTCTTGGGGGAAGAAGGACACGGGATGATGGATTGTGGGACTCTGACTAGAAAGACGTGTTCCTTGCAGGGCCAAATACTTGTGTTTCCTTTGAGTTACATCCATGCCATGAGTATCTAAGGTCTGTAAGGTTTAGGGTTGAAAGCAAGGTTAGGATTTGTGTTCTGACACATTCCTGGCCCAGTGGAGACAGGGGATTTGCACATCTGGATAGCAATATCTCAATAAGTGTTCGTGCTATGTGCAGTCTGCTTTGGGTACCTCTTCATCAGGCTGATAGAGACAGACTGGAGGGAGTTAATAGAAGAGAATGAGCAACTATTATGGGACTGGAAGGGTTGCCTTACTAGAGGAGATCAAACAAGCTAAATATGTCTGTCCTGCTTAGGCAGAGATGTGATAGCAGACTGCAGATTTTGGAAGCAGGTAAACTCTATTCACAGGGTTAGAGGATTCATCTAAGGCAATAGTTCTCAACCTTTTTAGACTCAAAAGACCCCTCATTAGACTTAGGGCACCCCTCAGAAAATGCCAGCTCTCAGCTTTTACTCATTTCTTGAATAATAGAGCACCTCTTCTGTTGCAAAGAACTGAGACAGACCACAACAGGTCAGAATGTTTTTGACATTGTGGATTCCTATTCAAAATCTCTGGGTTTACCTTGTGAATTGTGTGCAGATGTGTGAACACCTCACAGTGCTAGTATTACATGGCATCCTTAAAAGGATCTCATAGCACCCCAGGATACCAGGGTACTCTGGTTTAGAATCACTGATCCAGGGTGGTTCCACAGGATCAAATTAGGGAAAGGATTTAAATCAAGGGAGGAAAATACAGGCTGAATCTCAGGAAAAGCTTGTTCATAGTTCTGTCTGAGAGTGAGAATGGTTTCTTGGGTGAGGGTGGCATGTTTTAATATTAGACTGGACAAAGTAAGAGAAAATATACTGTAGGGAATAGTCCTGCTTCACCCTGGGGGAACAGGCTGGAAGGAACAGAATAGAGCTCTTCCAACGCTGACTTCTCTGAGTACTAGTCAAATCCAGATGAGCAGCAAGAACCCTAGGCAGATTTGCTCAGGGCAAGGGCTGGGGTTTGAAGTTCACAAACAATTGTTTGAAAAATGTCTCCATCTGTCTCTCCTTCCATCTGTGTGTCAATTTCAATAGCTTTATTGGTATGTCATGGCAGGAGAGTTGCCAAAGTTAATATATCAACTATCTATAGGGTGAGTTTCAAAATGGTAATGGGTTTTTAACAATGTGGTTATTATTATCCATCTCTCTAGCCCTCCATCTATCTAACTACCTATCATCTTATGTATTTACAGGGAGTCAATCACCAGAGTATCTAGACATGAAATACAGTCTCAGGAAAGGCATAAGAATTATTGCACCGAACTCATCTTTGCTTTCTTAGGGTTTGACTGTTGCAACTGGAATTTTATCTTTCTGTTTTCCCTTCACCCCTCCTTTGTGTTA